AGTTAGCCTATTGAACTAATTTATCGTTTGTGTACTTGCTGTGATCTAGACATTTGATCCACTATGTAAAATTATGTGTGAGTCTGATTGAAAGCATGTCTGTACACCAATCTTCATCTCCCTCATTGGCTGTAAGCACAGATATAGAGGAAATTATCCTCTAAAAAGTTCGTGACCCGAAGTGATCAACTTTGTGGAGGCTGGCTCCAATAAATAGTATCCCGTTAACTGAGTATTTATGCAGGCTAAATCTCTTAGTAGTGTTATTATTCAAAAGCCCGAACACCAGTTGTAGAGGTAGTTTAATGCTAGTGATTAGTTCCGTCCTATTGTGGGACTCCTCAGCACTGCGCATCCACGACCTCGCCACCTGCGAGATTGGAACCCAGGGCCTATCAGTCTTGCGCATGAACGCTTAACCACCAGACCACTGAACCGGTGTTAATGTTTAACTTCGATAATAATAAAGTAGTACAATGAACTTACTACAAGTTACCAATATACATATATCATGTATATGATTAATAAAAATGTGAACAAACTCAACAAAATAAGATAGTGTAATAGTTAATATCGAGCGAATCACACGTACATGTACAGATAATACAGTGAGTATATTACTAGTAATGGTACCCATTCTTTGTTCGCTGCATTGATGCATACTGATCCTCTGAAAAAGCATTAAATATTCTAGCACCTGTAAGTGTATCTTATTCCACAAGTGAGATTATAGAAACTTTAAATGTTTAGCCATTATTATTAGTAAATTCCCTAAGTAAAACCACATACCTACTGTCACTTTACGTTAATACTGTCCCTATGTTATAGCCCAAAGCCGCCAATCAGAAGCAGCGAATTATCGATCGAACCAAGGACGCGTAAAACACGTGCGAGCAGTCTAGAGTCCTGATTGGTCCTGCTTCCTGCCTAGACCAGCCAGTTAAGTCAAGAACACCAATCTCAGCCTCTGCAATATGAATCCTTATACTTCAAACATACTGAGTTCATATACTAATCAAACAGTCCACAATATAGCATAAAATAGAAAATAACATTTGTATAAAATTTGGCCAAATGTGGTTTTGAATGTGGAAGTTAGTGGTTAATAGACAGGGAATAATTCAAGAATGGAAAGTTGTATAATAATAGTTTATAGGTCAAAATAAAGCTTATGATAAGAGGAACATGAATATGAATAGTTTAGTTATTTAACAATTATACGATAAAAATATACTTTTAGTATTGGTCCTTGAATGGATCCCCAAAATTATCATTCATTATGCTTATCGTGACCTAACACCCTAGCAACTTTAACTAAGTTGAATAATATCTTACATTAACAGTATATCACTGTGTCACATGAGACATGCATTGTGTCAGACCTGATTAACATACTTTAGTAATTATTGCATTGTTGTTCCGTGCTCTGAACTAGTATACTTAAAACTATCTTCTATCACATGTTTGTTCTCTACATCTAATTTTACTACTTATATCAAATTGATCATGCCTGTTAATCAACAATAGCTAGTATGAGTCTTATCTACTAATAACCTATAAGTTATCATACCTTTGTCTGTTTCACCACAAACTGTTTAGGGTTTATATCCAAATGCTTTGCATCTCCTTTGTTTCTTTTTTTTCAGTATCAGGCTCTCAGTGCACAGCTATGGAGCTTCTTACGCCAGAAATAAACTTAACGTGCGCCTCTGTAGTGGACCAAACAGTATATTAACCAAAAAAGAATAGCAATAAAGTTATTACGTCCAAAAGTTAATATAACAATAAACAACTTATAAATTATTAACGCAAAATAAAAGTTCAGGAACGTTACTTAAGTTAGCTGGCTGTTGCGTGTTTCGTTGTGCTTGGTACCAAAGATCCACAATTATAGATAATTAATAATTTCAATGAAGTAAATATGGCTCCAGCCAGTTTTCTCGAAGTAGAATGCAATAGGAATGTCACAAAAGTCTATAAATATAATTGATAGCTAATCAGTAGTTTAGTTATTATATCCACAGGCATGATAGAACGAGACATGTGTATGAGAGTGTATTTATTAATGCACAGTTAACAATGTCGTGCTATGTGTAATTCAAAACGGAAGGAAGTTAGTTATCGAGGTCATATACTTAAACAACAAGTACAATCGTTTAGTGATAAATGTACAGATTGTGGAAATAAACAAAATAAATGCAGTCAGTCAGTCAGCTACAACGTAGGACCAGGCACATATGTGCATCGGTCCAGGTTGCCATACTGCATCAGCACAACAAGATGAACACCGGATTCGTAGCAGTGGTTAGGTCAAAGGTAGTAATATATAAGAGAAAGATTGCATATAGAGATATAGTACAAGAAGAAATAATTGGTTCGTAGAAAGAAAGATATGAAGCGATTTTAATCTCTTAGTTTAAGGGAAGGCAGGGAGTGTATACACCTACGCCATTGTGATCGATTCTGAGCCAACGATTCTAGTGCTCAAAACACTGTCCCCAGTCTACTGAAACCTCGCTCCAAACTACACAAAATAAATGCAAAAGCTATCAAAAACCATTTACAAAATAGGTTTATTAGGCCTATCTCCACACCTCCTCCAAGGTCACAGTTCATGCCAGGCGCTCTTTATATCTACTTTATAACTACTATAATATCCTTAAATTGTTGTATTGCATAAATGCTTAGCAGGACCAGAATTCTACCATAACAATTCCGAGTTTGGTTCTGTTGAGCGTTTCCTATGGTCGCAACGAATGTACTGCCTTTTATTTTTACTGTTTCCACCTATTTAACAACCCTATTGGAAAGCATCTTTTATGCGAATCAATGTTGTAAATTATAGATCAAAACTGCTCTGTCGGAAATATATATTATTATCATTAGATGAACAAATTCTTCTCTATAATTGTAGAACGAACAGTTCGAGCTCTAATTTTGGTAATCATTCAATACTATTATTAATTCAATCCAGATGTACGCATTGATTTTCATTCAAGTTCGATTGCTTCTGTTATTACTGTACTGATCACCGAATTTAATTTCGTAAATATGCACCCAGAAATATTGATATTCTAGTCCTAATTCAATCTATTAGTTACAGTTAACGACCTCAACAAACTTTCACATCCGATTTGTAGTATCTCTCCGTCATGTTTCTCCATATCAAGCTTTTACAGCATAGTTATCAGTGTTTTCACTTTTAACAAGATAATTATGTTCTTCAGTGAGATATCATTGTCCGGAAGCTTTGACAAACTGCCTTCAGACTTTTAATAATCAAACCAGACTCCCCGTATTTGAAGTAAGATTCAAAGCTTCAGGAACAACGTAGAAAACAGAAGTTTCATGTTGGTTAATCTTTAACTTGACTTCTGTGTTCCGAAATTTTCTTTTGAAGTGGTCAACGTAACCACACTGTGTTTTACTAAAGAATAAGGTCAATTGAGTGTATGGTGTTAGCATTACGGTAACGCTAGAGACTGTTCATAAATCTGCAATAATCATATCCATCTATACTGAAGCTTCTCCACATAGACGTTACTTCAATATCATGTTAACAGTACTGAAATTTAGTATGAAATAGATTACAATAAAAATTGACCTTTGTACTGTCTAGTACGATTATAAGCTTACTTTTGAACACTTTAATAACTCGGACAGCACGTGACACTGAGTTATTCTCACCATAATAATTGTTTTTTAAAGGGGAGTTGTGACTTTCAGTACACACATACATCTTATCCTTATGCCCGTGTAATTCTGCGCTTATCCTCATTATGTGTACTTGTCGATCACTCATTATCTTATCCATGCGTTTCTTTGCCACACTACACATTATCTGTTTGAGCTATATTAACGCATAGTATAGCGAGTCGGCATGATTATCTTCGTTTATTTTAATGTTTGTCTGAGTAAACGAATGCCTAAAATAGAATTATCTAATTCGACCCGTATTTGGCTTGATATTGCACTAACGGAGTTAGTCTAGATGTAATATACGGGAGATTTACGTAAACGGCATATTTATTAGTTCATATCAATTGGAGTCAGATACCGGAGCAGAAAACCTTATCGAAGTGTTATCTCGAACGTCAACAACATTACCAGCTATTTGGGATGCGAAACTATTTCAAGACCCTTGATATTTCTGTAAGCTGAGAAGTGCTTGCTAAACAATGACGAAAATATATAAAATATATATATATATATATATATATATATATATATATATATATATATATATATATATATATATATATATATATATATATATATATATATAATATATATATAAATGCATCGTATCGCGGAAAGCTAACATGATCGAAGGATATACCTAGTTGACATCATAAACCTATATCCACAGCATAATCATTCTCCAAACCAGACGCTCAATATATTTCTAAGATTTTTAGTTAATTAATAGTTGCACAGCGATCCTGTGATTAAAGCTGATCCTTGGTTCTTCCTAACAGTAGCCCCGTTCGAGTGAACCAATCTAATTGAGATCAAAATAGTTCAGTTGAGGGGTAGAAATAGGATTGACGAAGATTTGAAAACGATTACGAGAATGCTTCAGAAATCGTAGGTATGCTCAAGCTGAGTAATAGGCAGATAAATTTCGATACAAGGTTGGCTACAGAACTTGTCATTCACTTTGAAAAAGTTTACCTGATGCTACATCAACCTTTATATCCTCGTTTTTCATAATTTATCCACATTCTTCATTTATAGTAGTAAAAATCTAAAAGTCAATCGTTTTCACCAAAGATCCTCTTCCAGTCAACCCGAAAATCCTTATTACAGGGTCACACTGCGACATGTTACGAAAAATACTACCAATACTTATTTTTCAAAACTCTTTCTGTTGACTGAATATATCCAGTCCTAAATAGTAAATTACATCATTACCTTTCAAATATTACATAAATGGTACTTAACCATTCGTTTGTTTTTTTCTTTGTAAAAATGATTGATATTCTAAAGTGTGTAATTATGAGCAACTTAGAAGGATTACATTACATTCATCTTTGTATTAGCATAATTTACCAACATGAAAAGTATTTATAGTCATCCCTTCTCTTGATTAATCAAATTTCGAGCCAAATACAAAAAAAAATCAACAATAATCAATGAAAGCTGTATCCGATTTGTATAATTTTATATATTAGAAAATCATTTCCTTCTAGACCAATTACACAAGAAAAACGTTGCATAATCATTAATTGTCAAGATACATTTAAATTACAGAATAAATAAAAGAATGATAAATATACAAATTACAAATAGATGAGTATAAATAATTATTAAAATAAATAAATAAAAAACAATTATTGATTCATGGGGAAGTTTTTAGAAGAAGTAAATTGAAGTTAAAAAAAACAACAAACAATGAGTTTAATACACATACACACACGCACACACAAACACATGATCAAACTTAATAGTTTAACAATCGATAAAATTGAAAGTGGATAAAAACAAAACAAGATTAAACTTCCATAGTTTTTGAATTAGGTAAATATATTTTCATTTTGTTGTTGTTGTTTGTTTGTCTGTTTATTTCAGATTATTTTACTATTTAAATAATACAATGTTGTTTATATAAACAAGTCAATTATGAATAAATTTGTCAACTTTATCCTCCTAGAAACAAATGAAAAACAAATATTCTAATTCATAATTAAAATAAACTAGTTCTGTGAATAATCAATCAAATGATACATTAAAATGAAATAGTAAACATAATCACATGTGATTAATTGAATTAACAACGAGACTATAATTTATAGACGAATCAAACAGGTTTAAGATAAAAAACGGTCTCACATTTTGGCGTGAAATTCACTCATCCATTTGGGTAAATAAAGTTTTGACATTATAGTTGATGTCAGTTTGTGATGAAAACCTTGAATGTAATTGTTAGGATATTCGGAAAACTATACCAATAATTATCATGTTAAGTCTAATGGTGTCCTTGGACTTTAAATGGACATTCCCTATTGGTCAGTATTTATTTCACTTGTTAAATATTGTACAAATGTTGTTTTCTATTTTATGGTACGATGTGGTCTGTTTGGTTAGTATATAAACAGAGTATTTTTGAAATATAACGATTCATATTTCAGAGGCTGAGAATTGCGTTCTGGACTCAACTGGCTGGGCTAGACAGGGAAGCAGGGCCAATCAGGACTCTTGGCTGCTCGTACGTGTTTTACGTGTCATTGATCAGATCGATAATTCGCAGCTCCATAATCTGCAGTTACAAGACACAACAGTAATTTTGAACCTTAACCATCAACTGTAAATCATAATACTAATTCTTCATACTGGTGGTTTATAACCCTCATTTGGTCCTAGTTATTAGATGGATACTCTTAAAGTTACTTTGGTGTCGCTCAACGGTCGTCCATAAATTATAGTCTCACCGAATTAACTATGATTAGTTAACATAAGTATCAAAGTAATTTATGAATAAATAATAAAGAAAAGTTTTATTACTTGATTATGACTTTATGCCATGATTTCAATTGATAGACGCTGATGGAAATCTGAGGAAGTCGAAATGCTATTGGAAAATAGTCAAGAGTTTATGCTTACGTATGCCTACACTACCTGACCCTGTCTGAATTCACAGATTGTTTTAGTATTGATTACCTCCATCTCAGCATTTCTTGGCAAAGCTTCAGTTGTATCACATGAAACTCAGCTTTAAGCTCTAATGCATTTCAAAAAGGTACAGATGAATCAATTAAAACAAAGAATGTATTAGTTAATATATAAGTCCAATAACCCGAATGTTTATCAATCCGTTTCGTACCAAGTGCGTCTATATGGTAATTCTCTGCGATGCAACATTTTTTGAGCACAGATTTGTCACAAAATAAAAGACTAAATTACACTTCACTAAGAAGAACGATGTAAATACCTTCTGTAGGACTGTGTGAATATGATTTAATACAGAACTAAAGCCGACCAATATTAAGGTTAATACCAATGTAGTAGAAGTATCAGTGATAATAAAAAAAGATTACAGATATAAAATATGATGAAACAGTAAAGAATGAATTAGTGGAATAAAAGATATAAAATAACATTGAAACCCAGGATGTATTTGTGCCACTGTGAGTAATCTTGAAGCCATATCACCTAACAAGTCCAACCACTGGTCACGATAATTGAGTGGACCTCAATCAGTTGGTCTGTACCATTTAACACAACTTAAATAAACATATACTGAATTTATTGAATTGATTTTATGTTTTAGTTTTGGACGTCACTAGTCCTCTCTTTAAACCTACTTTTACAACAGCCAACATCAATTCATAAAGTTCGGTTTTTCGAAGTCATAATAATACCAAATAGTGTGGTTTACAGTCGAGCATATGATCCGGCTTTTTTATTACTGTGTTACATGCATTTTTTGTCCATAGACAGATAATGTTGACATTTTGATGATAGGAATAATTGGAGCTTACCTCAGCGGTATCTGAATCTGTATCACTTTCAGTATTTAATTCATCATTATTCATATTTACATCACCAAGATAGGCTGAAATTGCAGTAGACAGATAAAGAAAACAGTCGATCAAGTATAAAAATAAGGATAAAAACTTCATTCAAATGGTTTCCTTTTATGAAACATTAAGAAAACAAGAACGGTATTGTTTGCAGAATAAAATGAATACAGAGTTGGTTTGTTGCTTTCTCCTCAGCTGCATATAAACTAATAAGTCTAATCGGTAAGCACTAAGTGTACAGGTGAAAAATGTTGAGATGTTAACGGCAAATTTTAATAAATTATGTATAAAAGAAAAACTTCAGGTGGAAGTTTGTGCTGACAATGTCCTTCAGAAGAACGATGAAAGCTCCACGACCAAACCATCCAGCTCGGAGAACAAAACTCCATCAAAATCATTCACCTGATCTACAAGTCTTCACCATATCATAAAAGGAAATGATATATTTTGCAAAAAACATGTTTCTATATTACTAGTGAAGTGTTCCAAGTTTTTTATGGGCTGTTATGACTTCCAGCTAAAAACCATTGTGTAAATAGATTTATCCATGTAGCTCGCTAAACGTTTTCCTTGTGAACCTTTAAAAAGGTGTTAATGATTTCTTAGTCGGCTGTGCACTGTTTCCGAGTTGTTTGTGTGAACCCCAGTTGTCGGGTCAACATAGTGAAGCTTATTATATTATAATGGTCTATGAGAATATCTAAACCATCTAAGAGATTTGAGCTTTCTCCAGTCGTCAGTGTAGATAGTGGTGCCATAAGGGATATATCTCTTAATAACCGGGACGAGCATTTATGGTAGTTTATTCGGCATTTTCCCAAATATCCTTCTCTTAACTCTATCCCATATACCAAAAGCCTACTACATTTAGATAAGTTTACTACTTAGCTAGTCCACTTTTACTTTCCTCCATCTAAAGCATATATGCTCGAGTAATACTGCTCCATAGATATCTAGTAATCTACCAACTCCACTGAAAGTCATCTCCACTAGCATCAAGGGTTAAAAAACACATTCTTAATGTATTTGTGCTAAAGTACACCAGGTTCTCATGAAACATAGCATAGCTCGTGCAAGACATTAGGTTCCTGAGACATAATACATCACTAACACAGCATAATTTGTTTTATTGTCAGCTTATAATAGGTGGAGAAAGATTCTTTTCTTACTAGCTTTCTTATACCATATCCATTGCAACGAAATACCAATATATATCATGAGTTTTTACATGTACATCATCATCTCGTTTCCACAATCATACGTGGTTGTTTTCCATAACAATCTGAAGTAGTTCAAGTCATAATGTAGTCGATGGTCAATATCATGCTTCTCTAAGGTTCGATAAACATTATGATTGATTGATATATGTGCTGTGATCCTGAAGAGATTTGCTCGTCCTTCATTGATTCGGCTTTATATTTTAGATTTACCGTTTAGTCACTTCCCACTAAATTACTTAGAGTGGTAGTTCGAGAATTACCTAAGGTAACCTTTCTCATTAAGTAATGTACTAAAAATATAGGAAATTTAAAAAGAAAAAGACATGTAACTTAGACTTATTAGATTGTAATTACAATTAATCGAAGGGAAAACAAGTCAAAAATGATTGGTTCGCTTTTGTTACCAAGGCAGGTGAAAGTTAATCACTGACTATTTTTAAATACACAGGTTAGTGATTTAAGTTAAAGCCAATAAAAACCTTATGTTTACTACGTTAAGATTAATCATCTGACTAAGCAGATATGGATGGTGGCTAGTAGTGGGATCCAGGATGCGCGTTTCGTCCTACTTGGGATATGTCAGCCGGATATACCTGCATCCTAGAGTTGATTTTCACTCCAAGGTTTCACTGCTAGTTACCATCCATCTCTGCTCATAATGCTTGTGATTTAAAGTAATATCATGGCAATCCGCACAAGATGCACATGTGCCCATAAGAGACTAATCAATTACAGTCCTAAACATCAGTGGAAACGTTTAATCAACCAATACGAAAATGAATTACATCATCTGACTAGTTATTCTCTCTTTTATTCCGAAGTCTATCACGGTAAGTAATATGAACAGACTAGATGTATTAGAATTTTAACATTTCTCAGGGAATAGCAAAAGCTGTCTTGTCAAGGGCTGCTTCCCCTCTTTTTGGAACAATTATTGTTGAAGCGTTGTTATCGTATAACAGGACTATCCTATTGGAAGCGAATAAATGTAGAACTTCTTTCCAGTCTGTAATCAGCTACGCATAATATACTTTAGAAATACAACCACAAAAGTTTACTTCTATGATTAGTTTAGTTACATAAATTATAAAACACTTACCAGTAACTTTGCAGTTCTATAAGATTTCAGGAAAGTATTATTATTAGTAGTAATTTAAGTGCTTAACTTATAAAACTAGGACGAAACATAAATATATCGGATTTTGAATTTTACTACATTATGGAGTAGGATGTTTATAATTTGATGGGTGAATTTTCGATTATTAAAATTAAGTAGAAAAGTGCAAATCGATTAGACGATATGCTGTGATACGAAGGGCCCTAGTGATGTTGACCCTTAATTCATATGGCGTCAGAAGACAAGACAGCTGTGCAGTAGAATATTTTTACGTAATTATATTATACTGTGCGGTCATCCAATTCTAGTACTAATATACGAACTTCCTATATACGTACCCAAACCAGCGACCTGAGCGGTGAAGTCAAATGTGAATCGGAAGCCATTATTAGCTAACCGAATCGAGAATAGATATACAGATCATCCATAAGTATAGACGCACGTCCCTCAGAGAGTGAAGCTATATGTTCGACCAATAGCATGCACCCACTAGCATCTCTTAATTCCTGTCTGATCTATGTCTGATTGACCCAGTGTATCAAATTAAATAACATGCTTGTATACACCATATTACACTGAGGTAGCTTGGGCAGCGTTCGGCATCTTGGTAACATTTTCTAGGAACATCGATTAAGATAACCTAACACACGAGTAGACACTTAGAGTTTCATTGATTAGTGCACAAATGAATACGGTAAATACATACATAAATATGTAAATAGAAAAATTCACTCATCATTATTATTGAAACAACTTACTTGGTGTAATTATACAATTGTCAGCCACTTCATTAGTAACATCAACTCTATTGTTAGTTACACAAGTGGTAACATTGAATAGATTATTCTCTTTTCCACACTGATATTGTTGTTGATTATTACGAATGAGTGAGTTGTATTTCTCTGTCGACAAATCAGTATGACAGACTGAACAAACACGTACACGTGATGAACCTTGATAGGGAAGTATCCAACGATAAGTGGAACATTTATCACAAACAACTTTGCCACAATGTCGACAATGGTGCTAAAATTAACAGGAAACAATGGATACGAAGGGAAAACCGATAATAATAATAATAATAATAATAATAATAATAATAATAATAATAATAATAATAATAATAATAATAATAATAATAATAATAGTAACAATACCAATAATAGTAACAATAATAATAGTGATAATAATAATAATAGTAATAATAATAATAAAGTGCAATTGAGTAATCCATATGTACAGTTTTTCAGCTCTACATTTGAGCCTTGAATTTTTAAAGCGAGAGCTACTAATACTATTTGAGTAATGTAACTTATTTGCCGAAAACAGGTTTATTTACTTAGTTTTCAGTCAAATAGCCTGTTAGAACTAGTGATACATACGAATAATCGATAACTGAGTAATGAACAGTGTCATATTTTTGAAGTCTTTTTAATGTTGATAGAATTCAATCGATCAATTTGCATTCTTACTAGTAGTCTAAGGGACTTGACATCACTAACATTGCGTTGAGATGTAAATGGTCGACAGAAAACCTTGAACCTAAGTTTCGGGTAAGTTACTACTACTCAGTGTCTCAAATCAAAGTGAGTGTGGTGGGAAACAAATTTGAAATTAAAGGATTGAAATATCAGTGCTTTAATCATTAAACCCGTGGTTCACTGTTACTAATATGACAATTAGTTAATAAAGTAAAGCCTTTCTGGCGACCGTACAGTACAGGGACGAATTTAGAACAACTGCGATGAATTTTCGGAAAGTTCTTGATCAATTGAAAAACACTCTGTAAGTTCATGGTTTATGTGAAAGATACCAATAATATTAAAAAGCGTATACAGGTTTTACATATTTAGTGAGTTTATTCAAACCTTCTACAGGTAACTCTCTGTAAATTGAAGGAACAATGACAAATAAACCCGTCATTATAGTCCTGGATTACCTGTCCTTTGGACAGTTCCAAAGACCGACAAAGATTTTTAAGAGATCCTAATTTGTTCCTAATAGAGGTTAGATATTTATAGTAAGAACATGGGGTTTAGAGTTGGATCTTTCATCACAGATTGATATCAGCCAATAACAAGGACATTTTCTATAGCCAAGTACATGGATGAATTTCGTACAATACAACAGGCGTTTTTGATCTGGTGTCACCAGGTTAAGGTTTGTTTCAGGATTAAAGTTTTAGGGTTGGAATTTAAGAAGTGTCTAATCGGCTGTTATATACAACCTATGGGGAAAGATAATGAGTATATGAAACATTTAACACCATTATTTTATTGTGTGGTAGCGGGAAGTAATTTTTTATCAATTTAAAGGTTTTGAGTGGTATACAAAGGTATTTATAATGTTTGTTATACGTGGTATTTGAATTTTACGTCAAAACCCGAAAGTTGAGTTCTTGATTATGGTCAGCTTGATTCCGTACTATATTGTACCACCTTTCTAACCAATAAGAACCAATCAGATTAGCTACACATCATGTAGAAACTAGCACGTTTCTAGGGATTTAGATCTTACTTTTCATTATATACAAGTAGGAAAATACATATTATAAGTAAGCAGTTCTTCATATAGATGATAAATGTTATTCAATATTCATAAAAAAGCTAGTCTTTTGAACTTTTTCATAACTTCTGACAATATTCCTTCATCTATAAATTATTTCTATGATTTCTTCAATTATATCTTCTAAGATATTCGTATAAATAACTGTGAGAATGATTTTTTTGACAATTCAACGTTAATTGTTTTAAAAATCTACATTCATATAAACTTGAACAATCTAATCAGTAATTCTGTGATGTAAAGCATTCCCCACATGTGTTGTGTAGACGAAAGTACACGGTGATTGATCGATATTTTCAGACAGACAAAAGGTAGTTAGACAGATATCTGATTCTATCATTTTATTTTGCTACCGTAGAATATACGTGTTAGTCTCATAAAGTGTTCTTGATCTGAACTGGCTCAATGTGTGTGATAAGATGTTTGATTGGGCATCTAGTACAGAATGTGATCTTATATCTGATGGAATTGTCCCAATGGTTGACCTAGGAAATAAAGTGCCCCATTTATTTAATCGGGAAGACCTGACTTTATTTCGTCGTTCTTCTTTTTCTTTTTTCATCATTAATGTAGTAATAATTTCCAGGTTATGAGCAATTGAAGTAAATTCACGAAATAAATAGGATTACATAATAACTATGTTACAATTCTTAGTCTTCTTTTACTAAAACATATATGACGAGATTTTGTCCACAGTTTACGGAACATATTCTGACAAAGTATATTTTAAATTAGGTCACATCTGAACACGTTAACTGACCCGAAAACAATCTTAACACAATAACGATTTATACAAAATAAACATTAAAATTTAACTAATAACAAAGAATTACTATATTTAAAATTGGATAGAACTAGAAAGGAAGATCCAGGACAGAGTGAGTTGGAGAATGCTGGTCGACGGCCTATGCTTCATTGAAAGTAACAGGCGTAAGTAAGTAAGTAATATTTAATAGGCTATCTGATATGATGATAGATTCAAGAAAATGATACAAATAAATAAATACATTGTTATTTTAGACTAATAATTTATGTTGAACTATATTAGTATTTAGAAAAGTATAAATTCACTTATTATGGTATCATAATTGCATGTGATATAGTATAAACTTCCGATTCAAACATTCCATAACATCATTAAATTAAATAATAAAATTTCATAAAATGAAGTCTTTCAAAACAAACTTTTTTTCTTTCTTTTAAATTGAATATGAAAGTATAGAAATCTAGTTTTAGTTGATTGTTTGTTACTTCTTATGTTAATAAACTTTGAAATGGATTAGTTTATTATTTATTAACATTAAATTATTGATTTATCCTTCCATTCCTCTAGAGCTGATTCTTCTAACTGTATAATTTCGAAGAAGGCTTCTGGTGAAGCAGGGTGACCAGAATTAACTAAATGTTCCATGAATGAGCTTTTGGCTGACTTCTGTAATCCTTTCGAAATCCAGACAAGATAATATTCGGAGATGTGTTTCAAAAGAGCTTGCTTTGTGAAATCGATATAACCTGCTCCATATGAGCAAGTAAACTGATAGATGCACATTGATTTAGCCTAAAAAAGGATCAGACCTTCAGGTCGAAGGCTCGGGGTGTGGCCCACTAAGAAAACCACCTGCTTCGGTTTGGACACCCGGGCAGTATCACAGCCCTAACACATATCGAGATTTGTGTGGCGCATATGTATTCGGTGCTTCCTTGTACCAATATCTATGTGTTAAAATAATAAATAATAATAATAATAAAAGAAGGAGATTATCAGTTTACTTGCTGATGTTGAACAGATTACATTGGCCACACAGAGCGAGCTCTATTAAAATGCATATCCAAAATTACTCTGCCTGCATTTCTAAAGGATTACAAAAATCAGTTAAAAGCTCAATCTTGGAGCATCTAATTAATAAATCTTGAGAATAATTACGGAATGCATGACAGATAGCTGGTAAGAAAAGGTTTAAGAGATTATCTTCTTACAATACCGATTCACCTTCAATAATACAGACATTTCTGTGAACCATTGACTTCTTAAAAAATAAATGAAAGGTGTTTAGCAGTAGAATTTAGAATATGTACTTGGAACTAGTCAGCTGGATGTATGCACATCTGAAAGTTCATCACTTCGTGATCCGATTGCAGTGTTTTTTGTTTCAAACGCTAAACACGTTATCCATTCATTCGTCAAAAACGGAAATAAATCCCAATTTAATTTGTAATGCTTCTTTTTGGATTGTCTCGTTGATATATTTCAATAAAAAATATTAACATGATACAGTGGGTCAATCAAAAGTAGCTAAATGAGAAAACCATGTTCCAATAAAAAATCTCCGGATGACAAGTACATATTATTGGCCAAGAAATGGTTTTATTTCTTAAGTCAACATATGTAGATGCTCTTGCATTTGATTTGGTTTAGCTCAATAAAATTCTTTATTCTCTCTTAGTTTTTTATCAATATAAGGCTGGGGGCTTGCATATAGGAACTTTTGTGTATCAGTATCAGTTTCGGATATCGCGCGTCATAACACAACGGAATAATACAAGACCATTAAAAGTTGAATTGACCACTTATTTATAAATAAACTAAACAAATCACAAACACACAAACCTCAGCTTTACTCAACTATACTCTTTTTCCCTTCATTTCTTTACAATGTTAACCATATTTGAAGCATTTTATCATTTAGTTATAAGGTATAACCATTGACACAAATGTTTACTAGGCGTGGAATAACATGAATTACGGGTTAATGTAATACGTTTTAAGTTAAATTCTTTGTAAAGGGCTTTGTGATGCACTATCCAGAGATGAAAAGAGGTTTGAATCTGGAGAGTGCCAGGTAAAAAAAATGAGTCTTTCAACCACTAATCGACTGTTTTACGAGTCAAGTGTAGCTTATTCATGAAGGAGACATGTTGTTAGATGTAGGGTTTTTATCAGTAGAAGATTAATTAAGTATTCGATGCTTAAACTTAGTTGTGATGCCGACACTGATAAGAAGCAAACTTCTGGGTACTATGGTTTGGATTTTACACGTAAACAAATTTCTAGAACTTTAGTATTGATGACAGAATGGGGTGACCATGAAAAACGGGAAAATGCCAGATTTTAAGGCAAACTGCTGTTGGTTAAACAATTGTCCACATGGTTTACACTTCGACAGTACTTTAAAATCTGACGACTTGATTCTCTGAGAGTACGAAATTGCTTGTGGGGTTTCTATGCTTCTTTCTTATTTATTTCAAGTTTTTTTTATTTTGCACTCAGGTTGACAATCACGTTGTGGCAAGTCTATGAGCTATGTGGGAACAAGTCTATACTTTCAGCAAATTCGATGCAAGTCCACCACTTCGCGGATCAAACACTAAAGCAATGTATCAAAATAGCCGAAAATAATTAAAATTTAAAACATTTGAAACAACTTACTCTTCGATGAACAAGACTGAATTCAGTAGTACCACATACCATACAATGAGATGCTTCTGAATCCGGAATCCATATTGGAGATTTTCTAACTGAATCGTATTGCACACCTTTGTTAAGGTTAAAAAATTATAAATGAATTCATTAAATAGAACAGATAAAAAGAATTAAATAGTCAGACTCAAATTTACTGTCGTTGTGTAATAACTTATCAAAGATTTAGCAAATAAATACGATTTCGAAATCAGCTTGTCCATTTATTTATTGTTTAATAAGATATGACTGAAAATGGAGTAAAAGAAGCATATTTCACTGTATCCAGAACTTGTGAACTAGTTATACTTAAATTCTCTAGCTGGTTTCCTTTCTTTAACAGAGATCCAGCCACTAAATTGTAATAGATCCATCTTTGACAAGTAATATATCTTACTAAATGACTTATTAACTGACATAAAACTTCGGAGAATATAAACAATGGAATACGCACTCAGCTAGTCAGTCAGACGTAATGGAGACTCTGGTATATGTGTACATTAGTTCAAGTTGTCATACCTCATTAATACAGCGAGATAAAATTGTCAGTATAAATCCAATAGCAGTAGCATAAGTAGTATTTGTATTAGCGGTAATCGAAGAAAATGGGTACTGAAAATAACATTTGGGAAGGAAATATGGCTTTGTGCAACAAAATAAATTTGTGAGGTAATTTAAAAATAGTGAATGGACCTATACCACTGCGAACGATTTCGATCCATATCACCCAAAGTCTCCGACCATAGGTTACGGTAATCACGCAAACTCCATTCAGGTGGTCTGCACCTACATACATGGCACGGCCTAACAGTCAATGTCTTTATGGACAGATAACACGTCCTTGTTTAGCCGCCCTTACTTTTCTTACAACCTATCCCTACACCAGACAACATCCAAGGTTTTGACTAGTTCAAAAAAATAAAAGATAAAGCTGGAGAAAATTTCAATAAGGATATTCGTCAGGAGGTACTTAATTCGGGATACTAAGTCACAGCAGCAGTCAAAGGCATCAAACCCCAAAATTTCGTGGTAGAAAACATTATTTTGCTTAGGCCTATCAATAATCATGCTTTCAAGTTCGATAGACATATGGGTTCAAAATCATGTCTCAAAATGTCGATTGCACTGCACCACGTACCCGACTCAGTTTCAGCTGTCAGCGTTGTACCATGACAATCTAGGTGTATTTGAGTAATGACCATTGACAAATGTGAGAAAATTGTGTGAAACCCCTAACAGGGGCAATTTAAACCAGAAATTCTGACAACCTGTTATAACTTGTGGTCTGTGTGCCCTGTTAATGTACAACGTAATGATACCGCCTATCAGAGAGTAGTGAATTACCGATCGGACCAATGACGCACAAAACAAGTACGAGTAGTCTAGAGTCTTTATTGGTCCTGCTTCCTGCCTAGACCAGCCAGTTAAGTCAAGAACAACAATCTCAGCCTCTGCGATGATACATTTATTTCGAACGTACTGGGTTTATATACCAACCACACAGACCACATAATACCATAAAATAGGAACCAACATTTGGCCAAATATGGTTGTGAATGTGGAAGGTAGTGATTAATAGACGGCATAATTCAAGAATGGTAAATCGTATAATAATAGTTCATAGGTCAAAATAAGGCTTATAATAAGAGGGACATGGATATGAATAGTTTAGTTATTTAACAATTATATGGTAAAAATATACGCATAGTATTGGTCCATAAATGGATCCCAAAAGTTACCATTCATTATGCTTATCGAGGCATAAGACAACCTGAGTTAAATGCCAGCCACTGGGAAGGATACTAAAATGTACTTTTGATTTAGAACCTAGTATAGTATGACATGACTAAAAAGGCTCAAAGCATTATGGTTTAAACAATTAGTGCGGTTGGGTTCTTGATATCTGGACGTCTTCATTAGTTCCCAGTTACCCATCCCACTAACAGGTTTTTGATGATACAGAACATCAATGTTGCTCCAAATGCGTTAGGCTCACTTCCGATTTTAAACGAGAGCGACTTTTCCTCACCTCGACTAAACCGCTGCTTATACTCTATGTGGCAATATTAATTAAATGATCATTTACATGTAAGACTAACAGAAACTAATGTTTGGCACTCACAGTAGGATATTTAAGTAAGCGTTAGGAATTATTATAACACAATGGAGTTAATGTTCATAAGCGGAAGAGTTTTTAAAGCGTTATCACTAGTAAAAAATGCAACAAATGTAATTCGCCTATGAAAGATTTTAGAAAATACATATGGATAAAGTGAAGAACTTTAAGTTCCATAACTTGAGGAATACGGGTTTACAACTAATGATACAGGACTAAAGAAGAGAGTCATCCGGAAATACTATTGAACTTGATTGTTGAGAATACATCACGAATGCTACTGTGACCTGAACTAGTGAGAGTGAAACAAACAATATTATAAAGGCTCAAAGTGAGACCAAGCAACACAAGCTCTTCAGTCAGTCAGTCAGTCAGCTACAACGTAGGACCAGGCACATATGTGCATCGGTCCAGGTTGCCATACCTCATTAGCACAACAAGATGAACACCGGATTCATAGGAGTGGTTAGGTCAAAGGTTGCAATAAGGATATAGTATAGGAAGGAAGAATTAGTTCGTAGAAAGAAAGATATGAAGTGATTTAATCTCTTAGTTTAAGGGAAGACAGGGAGTGTATACACCGACGCCATTGTGATCGATTCTGAGCCATGTCACCAAGAGTCTCCAACCATTGGTTACGATAGTCACGCGGACCCCAACCAAGTAGTCTGCATCTACCAACATGGCTAAGACTAGAAGTTAGTGACTTCAAGCACTGATGCCACGTTTTGGTTTGGCCGCCCCTAACTTTCTTCCAACCATCCCCTACACCGGTTAGCATTGCACGTCGTGGTAATCGGTGTTCAGGCATACGTAATACGTGGCCCAACCATCTCAGTCGATGAAGATTCATAACCTCATCAACTGATTTACCATCATTCCCTAATACCCTGCGTCTAACCTCACTATTACTTACCCGGTGATCCCAGCAGATGCCAGCAATATTTCTAAGGCATCTGTGGTCAAATACTAGTAGCTTACGGGTGTCTTCTACTCTTAAAGGCCATGTTTCGCTGCCGTAAAGTAAGACAGAACGGACTGCCGCGCAGTATACTCGTCCTTTTATTGATAGAAGGATATCTCGCCTCCGCCAAAGGTGACGTAAGTTGGCAAAAGCCAAACGAGCTTTTCGAATCCGTGCTGAGATTTCGTCAGACACCAACCCATTAGGGCTGATCAGACTTCCAAGATAAGTGAAGTTGTCGACGCGTTCGACTACTTCACTCCCTATCCATAGTTCAGGTGTTGACGCACACCAGTCCTGAAGCAACAACTTGCATTTAGAGGGAGAGAAGCGCATCCCAAACATTCTGGCATTGTTGCTTCGTGCTACCAGAAGACTCTGCATTTTGTCAGCGTCTTCACCAAACAGGACTATATCATCTGCGTATTCTAAGTCGATAAGTGGACCTCCTGGAAGGAGATCAATACCCGAGAATTCAGTCGACGAGAGTGTTATTTCCATCAATAGGTCTATGATGAAGTTAAACAAAAATGGAGAAAGTGGACAGCCTTGACGGACACCACTTGAAGTTGCAAAAGTAGATGACAGTTCGCCATAAGCTCTGACTCGACTAGTAGTGTTCGAGTAAAGAGCCTTCACAAGGTTTATGTACTTCTGAGGTACGCCTTTCAATGACAGACACTGCCACAGAGTCTCGCGGTCTACAGAGTCAAACGCTGCTTTTAAGTCGAGAAAGACCACCGTCGTCGAACGCCGATAGGTATGCCTGTGTTCTAGGACCTAACGAATGGTGAATATGTGGTCGATGCAGCCACGACCAGGTCTAAAGCCAGCTTGGTTCTCTCGAGTTTGTAGTTCACGAGTCTTAGTTAGGCGTCTGATAATTATCGAGGCCAGTATTCTAGATACTATGTTTGTTAAACTAATCCCTCTGTGGTTGTCACAGGATGATTTTGACCCTTTCTTATATATTGGGACCACAAGCTCTTCATGAATGGCAGTTTACAAAGTGACGTTAAGAGAAGCAAATAAGATCGTGCTTATTCAGTTGGTTACTAAAAATACATAGGTTTTGGCTAAAACAAACGAATAAATTCCTTTAGGTAGATTTAGTTAGGGAAACATTGAATGATAGTAGGTATATTATAGGGACCAACTTGATCTATCGTTTGGTCATTTAAGATACCTAGTTTTATGTGGTTAAATACATAAATCTCATAAATATATGTTATCTAATCTGTCACTTTCGACACATCCTATTTGCATAAATAAACATTTATTGAAGCTTTCTTTACATACACTGGTTTATTATTAAGTAATAAACTGGATGTAATTGTCTTAAATACCCAAACAATGTGTTGCATAAAAATGAGTATTCTAGTTGTTATTTGGCCTACCAGAAGCAAAGTTTGAAATACATTTCTTCAGATGAATTACCCATTGTGTTTTCTCTTCAGAAGTGCTCGCATAAACCGTGAAAGACTTTCTTGGACTGAGAATTGAAAATCCATTCCGGTAGACTAAATTAGTTAGACTATATATTACACTTACTCCCATTGTCCACGACATTCTTAACACAGGAGTCAGCGAGGTCTATGAACTGAGGGCTACAAAGCTACGGAATTCAGAATTAAATGAAACTTCGAACTCACAACTTTCCTATTTAATACAATCCTTCCATAGATTAACACATCACTAAATAGGAAAAAGTGTCTCAGTTTGGGCTTTCTTCTACATATCTTTGTCAAAACACCTTCCCCAACTAACACCCGATTTGAAGTTACTAGTTTCTACAAATGAGTTTATATATTTAAACAAAACATACATTAGAAGGGAATCCAAAAAGCCTTTCCACTTCGAAAATACGTTCTATATTTTGTTTTGGATCATCTTGAGTTCATGAGATATATAAAAAGACAGTATTAACCTACAAAACACTCCATTATCCATTGCAGGAAACCAGATTATTTGTGGTTGACAGGTATCCCCTCAGGAACTGAAGTAAAAGATGAAGTCTTCAGGGTAAGAGACAGAAAAAACCACCCAGAGTGATAATCTATTAAGATAATCCATAAAAACAGTATGTTAAAAGTCATATAGGAGCCGAACAGAGTCAGTTTTCCCGAAAAAACGCAAAATAGTACTAATACCAAGACAACTGATACTAAAGGGTATGAAACTTCGTACGAAGTAGATTAGTCAAGTGAGGTTAAGCATTTGACGAACTGGTGAAATTTTACAATCAACTAAAGTTAAGTTGGGGACGTTTTTGAGACTCAGATGTGCAAAGCAACTCGTTACATTAGGGGGATGAGAATATCTTCAGACAATATCCTCAATAATGCCTTTTGAATAAGATGTCGGAAGTCTACATTGCTGATATGCATTACAAAGACATATCGTTCTATGGATCGAGGCTCTATGGAGGAGAATGTCGTGGCTCCTGTCGGGTAGAGAAAAGTTCAGTCTTCAACATGGAGTGAAATATAATTAGTCTACAAATTAGTCCTCAGTTTCTTCCTATTTAAGAGACGAAATAAAGAAAATAGTACTTAGTGTATTTCTGGAAGCATTGAAGTTTACAACTAAGACAGAGTCCAGTCTAAAGGCTCCACCGTTCTTGGATGTCATCAAGAGATAAGCAAAGTCGATAGGATACATGAACGTTCCACGGTGTCGACGAATTTTCTATTCTTGTAATGCCCGTGGAAAATACCACAGAACAGAAATTCTACCAGCGGCTATACGAAAATCTTAAGATCAGAGATGCGTCAAACTAAGAATATGTGTTCTAAAACTAAGTTTTACCGTTATGCTGTCGTGGCAGTTTATGTTAACTCATCCTTGTGTCAAACTTTAGTGATAATGGCTGATTTTACAACTTCCGACAGGTAAGGAGATTTGCAAGAACCTGGTAGGACAACTTAGGTAGATCGGAAACAATACAACTACAAATTCTATTGATAAATAATTTCCATAACAAGATATTCGTACAAATAAAATGACCAAGATGATACAGCTCTGGGAGCTCCATAGTACAGGCTTTGTGCCTAACTAAGGGATACAAAGACGATGTTCAACCTCATAGAGTGTAATAATTTTCTGGAGGTGGCGGTAAGTCAAAAACCACCGAAACTACACAAATAACACTGCAAATCGATGTGCCTAATTTGAAGCATAACTTAGTTGTTACACGCTATATGTTGATTTCACAAATATTAGTGCTTGTTGACCGCCTGCCACTACATTTAGTATTACTCATTTACGAAATCACGATCCATGTAGTTAGCTCTGAGCCACACAATGTATAAGTGGTAGTGGTATTATCCCGCTGCCCAAGACGAAGTGGGTTAAATGGTACTCAATCCTAGAACCCAGTAGCCGGAAATCGAAACCGATTTACCGCTAATCCATTGCTCCACCATTGTGTAGCAGGCTATCTTCCGTTCATGACTTCAAATCAAGACAAGAATCCATTTACAAAAACCAGAGCTTTAAAATGACCATATCTAGCGGCATAAAAACTGTCCACTCTACTTCAAACAACACTTCCTGGAGGTATATTCAGTAGGTCGAATACGTATTCCAAGTGCTTAGACCAAGAGGTGGCAAACCTGGGACAGAAGAATGTGGTATAACATTTGTTTGACACGTATTATGCAATTCCTTTCTCACAAAGATATTGATATCATATCAACAAGAAACTAACGAATTCGCCAATAAACTTATTTGGAAGAGTACAATTAAACCTTCCACTTACTGATGGTCTTTAAACTAAACGATACTACTGGGGCTGTCAGGATTAAAATAACAACTATGGATTCACTGTGTGAAATTCATATGGCAGTGCTGGGCAGCATTGTGAGATTTCAGTGGATACTCTTATTTCGAGCTAAAATCATCACTTCAAAACGGGAATGAAAACCTATTTCTAGCATCGTGACGAAAAACTGACAGCATCAAAGCAAATAACACGTAAATCTTATTCATTACAGTAAAGACTCTATAAGAAACAATGTTATGAAACTTTGTGAAATTTTTCTTTCGTCTGAAGCACACTCATTTGCATCATATGATTGTTACTAAATTGAATTAAAAGTAATTTTTACACTATTGGATCGTTTTCACAGGACGCTAGTATATTCTCTCGGAACCTTTGTGCAAAAACATCGTTGGAACTACTAAGAATAATTTGTAGGTATGTATAATTCGTTAGAGGACTTACGCATAAACTGAACATCGGTCGTATGAATCTGTAAGAGTTGGCTTTAGGGTAGATATTACATTGCAAACCTTAAGAAACCCACAAGCTGCTTGAAACTAGCATACGCGTTTGACCTTCACTACATTTAAGCGAAACATTTGTGCTCTTAACAACGTGTCCGTATTTTTGAATTTCCTCGACTTTGGTAGTCGTTTAATTTATCCTTAAGAAATTCATATGTTACACTTCTGAAGTGTCTGAAGAACTTAGACTATTTCAGATATCGGAAGTTGAATACAAAACCTAAGTGGAATTGTTTTCTGCCACGAAGAATTAACGAAACAGATGTTTTAGTGAGTTTTGAGAGGTCTGCTACTTTTGATTTAAAGTTAGAATACCGGCATTTAGGGAAATACTCGCTAGACAGACCAGAAGCTTATAATAAAAATAGTTTTGTTATATCCCAATGAGCAGAAAAATTGTATATCTGACGTCACCTGACTTAATGTGAACTAAATTAATTTAATTTCGTTTATTTATTTAATATGAAGACGTGGTATACATTAGGTCAAGAAACGTCAGAAATACAATCTTATGCTCATTGAGGCTGAACATTTATCACTAAATTTCTCAAGTTATTTGAAACTACCCAATCTTCCTATTTTGGAATTCTCCCGGAAGTTCGATGGTCTTAACCAACACTTTTGAGATATCCCCAGATCTGAGGAAATTTCGTGGTTTTATGCCATTTTCTCTAAAGTTTTCATAGCGGCTTCACCAAAACGGAAGAAATTTCCCCCAAAATAGAGATTGGTTATAGTATCAAACACATAAATATCAAGTCCAACCTTGATATTGGTACCTATGGAGAAGAAACCGCAGGAACTAATCACGACTACGCTTCCCAGTAGAACCCTTATTATTATTAAGGACCGGTAAATACTCAATCACTGCTCACCATCTGCAGGATTGATGAAAAGTCTACTGTCCTTCAAATTCTGCCGCGCTAGTTCAAGGTCAATCAGTTCACACGACCTTGACGGCAACTCGGTTGCATGAATCATTTACGTCAAACAGGTATGCTCTAAAGAATCTGGTTGTATCGAGAGTATCTAATTTCACGCGAGATTTGAAAAGCCAAATACTGATAGGCTTACTTAATAATTTGAACACATAAATATTGATGCAAGATGGTACCAAATATATATGCGCCACACAAAACAATGAGAATTTGAAGAGAAAAACAGAACAAAAACGAACAGACTAGTGTAAGGCAGTGCAATAATAATAATATTGATAATGGGGAAATGAAAAGGTACAATCAGAAGAACTCTTTCAGGTAAGGAAGATACAACCACTTTTTTTCTATGAAGAACGTAAAAGAAAGTTACAGCAGGATCGCCACTGGCTTCTATTCTGAGCCATATCTGAAAACGTCTATAGCCACTGTGTTGCAGCATCTCTTGGACTCCAGTCAGGAAGTCGTGGAGGACCAACAGAAGCCAGCACTTTGCAGATTTATTTCATGCCACGACACCATGTTATACGCTGACCACCTCTCCGCTGCGATTGTTGGCCTTTTATAACTATGACGGTGTTCTAACATTTGGCGGAGGGTGAAGATATGATCAATACATCCTCGACCAGAACAAAAACCAACTTGCTCCTCGCGAGTCAATCTTTCTCGGGTTTTGAACAATCTACGAAGTACGACGGAAGCCAATAGTTTGGACGCAATCGGAAGTAGACTTATCCCCCGATGGTTGTTACAGGAACGACGGGAACCCTTTCTAAAGATAGGGACAACTATCCACTCATTCCATGAAGTTGGCACACTCTCTAGTTCCCAAACCTTTGTAAACAACGTCATCAGTTCCTTAGTCAGAAAGTCACTACCATCTTTAAAAAAAGCCGGAGGTAAGTCATCTAGGCCTGGTGATTTGTGGCGCTTCAAGAGTTGGAGTTCTTTGCGGACTTCCACCTCATTTGGTGGATCAGTCGTCACCGGCCATGGAGGGCAGGACGGTCTGACCGATGTTGCCGGAGCAGCAAGCCAATTGAACTGCCCTTCGAAGAATTCTGCCCATCGTCCAAGACGTCGATGGATGTTAGTGATTGGCATCCCGTCATCCTCACAGATTGTTTCGCTCACACCAGACTTCTTGCTGCCAGTGGCTCGGACGAGTTGGAAGAGCTTCCGGTAGTTACCAGATGCAGCTGCTGCTTCAAGCTCATTAGCACGCTCCGACCAACAGGCTTCTCTGTCCTTACTCAAACTTTGCCCGATTTCATTACGTAACGTCCTTCGTTTGTGGTCAAACTCATGGTCACCCGGAGTAGACCGACGGGCTTCAATGAGTTGCAAGGTGCCTGAAGCAACCCAGTGCTTATAAGCGGGATGTTTCGCGAAGCTGCAAGCGGCTCTAATCGCCATTTTCATGGCGTCATCAAGTTGCAACCAATGCTTATTTTTGCTTTTCGGTGGAATGGTAGCTAGCCTAGAAGCTAGCTCGGTTCGATACTTACTTGCAACAGAAGTTGCAACCAGCTTGCTAATATCAATCCGTTGATGGCGGTCACTTCGTTGGCCACTGAAAAGTAAGGTAAGATTAGCGCAGACCAAAGCATTATCAGAGTCCAGATAGATACTCCAAAAGAAGCGGCAGTCTTGTACACAACCACGTCAGCGGTAACTGATCGCGATGTGATCAATCTGAGTCTAGGCTTGAGATGCAGAGGGAGGACACCAGGTGGCACATCGGCGATGACTGTGCTGAAAGTTAGTGCTAGGCAGAAACAGGTTGTGGTTTGTGCACAGTGTCAGTAGACGGTTCCCGTTATCTGACCGGCGACCAACGAGTCCCCATCGGCCACCTAAACGACTCTCTTGTGTGCTTAGGCGCCGGACCTGAGCATTCAAGTCTCCGGCTAGTACCATAATATCTGTCGAACGCACTTTCTGGAGAAGAACAGATAACTGGTGGTAAAACTCATCCTTGATTGCATCCGGGCTGCAATCTGTCGGGGCATAGGCGGAGATGACGAAAAGACATCGTTTCTCACGCCGATTTCTTCTCACTTTGATGGAACTCTAATCTAACAGCACATAACCGACTGTTGATGGGGATCCAATCGATTAGTGCTGCCTCAGCTCTAGCGCTTAGTGCGATACCAACGCCAGCAAGACCAGACGAAGATGCCACAGGGTCCCCGGATAAACGCACGTAAAACAAGCTTTCCCAAGCGACAGATGGAGAGCGAATTTGTAGTACTTCACCAGAGTCTTGAATACGGGTCTCGGATAGACAACAAACATCAATATTAAGACTTTCTAAGGACATAACCAGCGCTGTCAGTTGTCCGACCTGCATAAATGTGCGAACGTTGATGGCAGCCAGTTTGAATGATGCACGTGGTTTCAGAAAAACTGCTTCAGTATTCGTATTTGGTGGTAACATACAATTTTCAACCGGACAGTAACTCGAGAATGTTTAGATACAGTCGAATTTCCACCAAAGACGAGCTGCTGTATAAGTCGAAAAAATAAGTATAGACAGATTAGGAATAAAAGAGAGTGAGTAAATGACGTAGTAAATAATAATAATAATGATAATGATAATAACAACAGTAATAATAGTAATGTGAGTCATTTGATTGTTATTCGAAGCAAGAAGAATATTTTCCACAAATAAACAGTTTATCATATTTTGTGTGTGAGCTGTAATACTGCCCTAGTGCCCAGACCGACGCAGGTGGTTATCTTAGGGGGCCACATCCTGGGTCTTTGACTTAAAGGTCTGACCAACAAAGCAGTGGAGCATCGTGAGGAGATGCAGTCACATGGTAGCCGGTGACCAACAACTGGTTCGTACGCCACTTATTCCCACAAGATACTGAAGCCCATGTGCACCACTGGTTTGGGATTTGGTTAAAGCGCCGGGCATTCGCTTTTCTTGATCTCATTTTCGCAAACAACATCCCCGCCACGAGGAGGCAGTGAGTAGGACTGCCCTGGCAGAGGCCATATACGCGTGGCCGTGTGAGAGCATTTCGAGGGGGAAGCCGGGTCAACCTCACTCTCGGCCATACCAGGGCATTTGGGGGCATCTATATTATCCGATCTCAACAAGGGCACCTGGACTTTTTTGATCAAATTACCTAGAGAAGTTATGTTTGACAGTCACAGATAATTCTGTACTTCAATTTTAGTAAGGCTTTCGACTTTCGCTATATGGAATCTTCTTTAATCCTAGTTTAAATCCTTTCTTAGTAGAACGCAGCCAAATTGTTCGCTTTGGATCTTATTCATCTACGCCTATGAGTATTACCGATGAGGTTATACCAGGAGGTGTGATTGGTCCATTACTATTTATCCTTTTCATTAATGATGTGTGCTTTTAGACTCATTTCGGTATTAGTACACTTGCTTTCAAGACAGTCGATGTTTCTATTTTGTTGATGACCTAAAATTCGTCTATTAATTCTCGCCTCTTACCAATTAAAGCTATATTTCAGCGGTAACACTAGAGGTCATAAATCAGTTTTACGAATGGACTGTGTCGCAGAATGTGTCTGAATTTTTACAAAAGTAGATTTACTTACAATGGTAGTAGATCTAACCTAAATCTGGGTGTAAACAAATATACACTGAAACATCTTAGCACTGTTGATGACACAGGTTTGAGGTATAGCAACGGTTTGTACTTTGCTGAGCACATCGAATGTCAAGTATTCAAAGCAAGAAAGCGTGAAAGGCTTAGCAACTACAGCAGAAATAAGTGCAAGAGAAGGGGATACGAGACAAGTACATGATACAACAAAAACAGGCAGGAAAACAAGGAAGATCCAATGTCGAAAACTTACAGAGCTATTTATTTTGGGGATTTATTTACCGTTACAACATAGCAAACAAGAGTGACCAGTCAAGAATAATGACGGAACAAGCCCTTACTTGGAAAACAAAGTAGGAGATGGGAAGACCAAGGAACAGATTGAGTCTGAAATCGGAGGACTTCAGAATAATCATTAGGAATTGGAAAAAAACGGGGTCTTAGAGTCTAGGACAGAGTTGGTTGTAGAATCCTGTTGAGCAGTCTATTCTCTCACGGGAGATAACAGGAGTATGTAACTAACTAAGTGAGTAAATAGGTAACTAAATTTTACAAAAAATGTTAATTCCATGACATCTGATGACGTATTCGAAGGAAGTCCGGGAGATGTGGTTTCACAGGTTTTTCACTAATCTATTTGGAAAGTATAGAATCAAAGAAATCAAGTGACGAACGAATCATTCTAATGTTCTCAGTTATTTTTTACACCTTCGTGGATTTACCCGAAATGATTCCTAAACTGTATAATGTTCATTTTAGTATTTTCTCAATTTTTCTTCAAAACATGTTTTCCTTCTATCTGTGTTGGTCTATCTGTGCTCGTCCGTATATTTTATTCGTCATCTGTTTTTTTATATTTATTCGCTAAGGTTAACAATTCGGCTCAAGCCATTTCCTTTTGGTTCTTTCTATTTGAAAATAGCCAAAATAGGGACAGGGAAATCTGAATTCATTACATTTCATGGTTTCGCTTCAGCTGCATACAAACTTATCGTTAGTGATTAAATTCACCTGTTATTTTATAACGTTTTTTACGTGATCTTCACTAAACTAATCGTTATTTTATCTACGTCAAATTATGTTTCCATTCACTTATGTTTCACCAGCTCGATTTTCAGAACTTATTTAGATTCTTCAGACCGTCTTAAATCATTGAGTAACTCATCTCATTAGTTCCCAGACTCCATAGAATAACTACATCACAACATCGATGTTTTTGAGTTTTATCTCCAAATAACCTCGCATATACTTATTAGTACATGCGTATAATTATTGTCGATAGTTGTTCTAATTTCTGTTCTTTCCGTCAGCAATGTCAATTACTTCATATTATGCTCGAATGTTATACTTTAATATGTATACGGTTGTAAGCAGCTGAAGCGAGACCATAAAATACAGTAAATTCATTTTATTTCCCTTCAAATGCTGTTTTGAATTTTTTCAAATTCATAATGAGAAACAGATGTACGAAATTTTTGACAAACGGTTCCATGATTATTTGCTCATATATGAGTGCTTGAAAAATAATAATTCAACCTAATTTCATCTTCGACTTTTTTAATTACGCAGTTGTCGGAATCGGGTCAACCGAGGTATTGTATATTAAGTCATATATTAAAACTGTATTACAGCAGAGCCAGCGAAGTATTCAAGAGTTACTGTTATCTAACACTAAAATATACAGTAACTTGTTTGCTCATTAGCAAGCATACTGTTGTAAAATAATGGCACAAATAATTTTAGTCACTTAGCTGGTGCCTATGAAACTCTATTATAAAGTCAAAGGTTAACCTGTGAGTATTCAGTCATATTCATTAGTATTTACTATGTATATGTTATGTATAATATAAATGATATAAAGTTTATATGATCAGAGTAAACATCACTGATAAATGATTATTATTGTTCCAATAGATGTCTCTTAATCGTATTATATGCATCATCTTACATGCTTGTCAGTATTTCATCCTCTGACCACTAGTAAATTGATATCATTCAACCTAATATTTTCATAGTTTTTCAATCGAAAGTTTGGTATTTTCTTTGTATGAGTAGTAGGCAAAAAGAAGTAAAAAAAATGTGATATTACATAAAATCATCAATGATGTTTTATTTGAGATTCATGAAAATATTGATGATATAAAAAGCTGGTTAGTAGAAGAATCTAATGAATAAAATGTAAAATGATATTTTGTTTTTATATGTTTGTATCAGTTTACAAAGAATTTATAATTCACTTTAGCTATCATATATTTTATTGTTATAGAAATGTAATTAACATATTATTTCTGCCAAGATGCTTACATTGTAACCACTTTTAAAGCATAATACTTCCTAAGCTCGATAGTTTCATTACAAAGTATATCCGTACCCGTTCAATATGTTGGTATAATTGTTTACACCCTTGTTAATCATTGTGTAACTAACATAATCTTATGTTTTATTGAAGAATATTTATTATCAGATTATTAGTTTCTTCTTATGAAAAAAATAGAAAACAAAACAAAAAAAGAGATCTATTTTACTGATTTCAGTATTACTGTAACTTTATTATTGATTAAATTCCATGAAATATTTTACAAAACAAATAATAGTCTACATTCTCATTGCTCACTATTATTATTTAAACATGGATAGAATTGAAATTCACACCATAACAACAATCATCTCTCATAATATACACTTTATTTCTATTATCTTATCTATGTGATATTTGGATGCATGATATAAAGTTTTATTGAATATTTATTATCAAACGAACCTTATGTATACACAACCAATCTCTTCAGGAGTCCATATAGTCAGTAGACAAACATAGAAAATGAATTGATCAATTAACTGAATGTATATAAAAAGCAAACAAACAAACAAACAAATATAACTATTTGGTAATGGTTTAAAAATGATTCATAGGTAACTGGATTATTGATTTTTTTATGAGTAAATATGAAGAATAAATAATTCATGTTTCTTTTTTGTCAAAATTTGTACTTCAAATTTTTATTGATAATAATCAATTTATTCTCTCTCTCTCTTACCCTCCTCTTTTACTGTCGACTCATAAAAACACACAAATTCAATTCAAATAAAAGAAACAAAACAAAAACAACTAAATTTTTGTTAAAATCCGATTAGTGCATCTCTTTGAAATGTATTCACATTTCCAATGTATATTGTATGGTATTTCTGTATATATAGTAGTATATGTCATTACAGAAACAATTTGAAATTTACCATTATAACATAAGGTATTCATTGTATATATATATATATATATATATATATATATATATATATATATATATATATATATATATATATATATATATATACGTTCTATTGTGTTATAAGATGACCGCATATAATGCATATTGACTCTTGAATGATTTATTATTTAAATGATGATTTGGAATTTATGAATAGATGCTTTATTAAAATGACAGTTAATGAACAATAAAGACAAATCATACGCATATCAATGAATATATATGTCAATTTAATAAAATTATTAAAAAATAATATTCAATATTATCATTATAAATTATAACAAACAAACAAATAAACAAACCAACAAATGATATACAATACAAAATCAATAACCAACCTTATTTTTTTTTCTCAAAAAGAAAGTTTAGAAACAATCTGGGAATGTGTCACTAAAAGAGTGATAAAAATGTAAACAGGTAATAATTGAACTGAAACTATATTCAACATTATTACTATAGTAATAATAATAATAATGATAATAATTATTATTATTGTTATTATTATTATTATTATAGGTACTCAGGTACACATACAGACATGAGAGCATATTTTGAAAAAAAATATAAGTAGCTAATAAAAAGCTAAATAATTATGAAAGAGACGAAATGTTAATCGAATATAATTTCAATGTTTAATAAGGATATGTAAGTTAGTGTGATTGATGAATGTCATTGAATTGTTTGTATATTTGGAATTCTGTTCCTTACATAAATTGAATATATTTTTTTTATTTTTAAAATATATATGTAAAGTAAATAAAAGATGAATATAGATTATTTGATAGGAATTTATAAGCTATAATATCCTATACTCTAAACTTTCGAAAATGCTGTCATAGCAATACGATAAAAATCATAAGGTTTATAGTTTATGTGATTTGTTTGAAAAGATTTTATGAAATATGTTGAGAAATCTCTGAGTAAGATAAAAAAAAAACGTTATTTGCCTAATGAATTTTGTCAGAGGTCTTTTTGTTTAAATGAATTCTCATGATATGTTATGATGATAGTGATATGCGTTTATAGGACTATAATAAAATAAAGGAAAGCTACCTGAATTAATAATACAAATTAAATGAGAGAAAAACTTATTCATAGTTATAAATAGTAAACATAATGATTGAAATGTTTAACGGTATGGTTTAACATAATTCGATGGAAGCATTCCAAATTTTCCAGTTCGTTGAACAGTACCATACATCCAACCTTCGGTTATAGGTGCACCATTCACTATAATATCACCAGATTTGAAGGTCACTTCATCGTCTTCTCTAGCTTCGTAACCATACTGTGCTACAAAAGTCTATAAAATAACAATAATATGCTTTAATTATACTGCTCATTCATTCATTGTTCGATTCTATAATGAAATTCATATCAATAATTTTGTAGTATATGCATCATAAATAGATATAAAGCTGAACATGAATTTGTAAGTTTAAAAAGTGCAGGGTACGATGCATGTCTGTTAATTTGTAGCTCATCAGTCTCAAAATGTTCGAGATAAGTGCACTATGTAGCACTTTCCCTTTCTTTTAATTATTGAATAATGTTTAAAGGAGAGTAATTTTCACTGAGAATTTCATTTCAAGCTCTAATTCTCACTTTGACTATTATTTCATCCGGCAAGTTGGAATGCGCTACAGCAGCGTGTTCAAAAAAAGATATATGTAGGTAGTTTTTAAACATTGAAATGAAGTGTTCAATGAAAATTACACTCTTATCTGCAGTACTAAAGGAACGTAATATACTTGAAAATACTAGGTATCACACTTTTATTGAACAATAAACAGGATAGTTATCTTCATCCGTGTAAAAACATTCAGTCCCGTTCCAGGATATTGATAATGAAAACTTACTGTGACCGCAAAAATCATGACTTTCATGTTTGGTTATGGTAATGTTAATATGTGTATAACTGAATTTCAATTTTATTATCAGCTAACTAATGCTAGGATACAAATTTTCATTTAATATTGTTGATGATATTAGTACAATGAGATGTGTAGTAAATTAGTATACATATATGTTCTCATTTGCTTATAAAAATATGCGATTCGATAAGTGATTTAGAAGTTTATACACCAGGGTTTTAACTATAAGTACAGATTATTAGAAAGAATGATCGACAGTTGATTTCGGTCAATAATGAATTTCTGAAAACAGCAGGATACTGTTAGCTTTCTAATGAGTATGTGTGTCAGTTGTAGGCTGATAGCATTACATTAATAATGGAATTATTTAGTTAAAATCAAAATATCAATGAAAGTCATAATTATAATATAAATAACGAAAATATTCTAACATACCCCACCAAATCCTGAATTTTGGTGTGTATGACCATGAAAGCTATCATGAAGAAATAAAAAAGGATTACATTTTTAATAATATTTATATATTCTTAATCATTGTGAAGCAGAATATGATGCAATAAAATTTGTTCACACAGATTAATGAACTAAAACAGCCTAGGTAACGATTGCTGGGTAAATTATGATGATGGTATGAAGTCATTAATGGTTAAAGGCAATTGAGATAGAACCCTACGTTCATGATAATTGGCACTGGTTAGTAAGGAGTAAATGTAACCACTAAATAACTGATTCATATGAGGGTATTGAAATACGTCACCTAGTGTAACACTCAGACACGGGATGATTCAGATAATCAGGTTTTAAATGGTCTCCTGTACGGCCAAGTAAAAGCCAACATCGCGTATGTGTTCGAATCCTCACAATAACACCTTTTGGTAGAATGAATTAATTTTATTGTTTTACCTTTTTATAATGGAATTTTCTTAATTGCTTAAGGATGAATAATAAGGAGTTATCGAAATAGGTTAAATACTTAGAACAAGCTTGATATATCATGCAAAGTATATTAATCAGGAGTGTGCTACTTTATTAATTATCACTGAAGTTTAAAAAAACTGTTGGCTAAAACTACCTATGTAACAAAGGTTAACCAGTCATATGTCCAGAGATTAAAAAACACTCAACAAGAATGTAAAGTGAAGCTGACAAAATCCCGATAAGACCACTAATAATGTCATCACAAAACACTTCTAAACAGCTCACTTCTAAATGAACTGAGTGTTGATAATGTCGTCCACAAAGACAACCAAAGCTTCATTACCAAATCATTGGGCTTATAAAACATAAGTCAAATAAATATGTAAAAAACAAACAAACTGTTATATTCTGACAAAGAATAAATAAGTGGTAACTGCTAGGAATTATTTATAGACTATTAGTACACATATTTCTGTTGCATGACTATCAATTAACTAACTTATATGTATATTCATTTTTCTTTGAATAAAAGCTTCCATTTGACCCACTGATTACCATTATACAACTTACTATTCCTAATTTACTCATGAATTAATAGTTATAGTCCCTCACACACACAGCCATTTTTGATTTTATATTGTATAATTTTTATTTTCTATTATGTGGTATGATGCGGTGTGATTTGCTTGTATATAAACTACGAATTTCCCAAATACATGATCCATACAGTGGAGGTTGATATTGATGTTCTGGGCTGAACGAGCTGGGATCGGCCGGAAAAACCAATAAGGACTGAGAGTTGACTCTAAGCTGCTCGAACTGGTCAACACGTCATTAGTTTAATACAGTGGCAAGGTCATAAGAGTCTGTGTTTTAATTGGCGATTAAGTCACGTGACAATTAACAGGGCAAGAGTCATAACAAAAACAATTGACTTACTTTAGGTTAACCGTCGAACCTCTAGGTATATTAATAGTTTCTGTAGAACCTACATTGCCACCAGCAGTGTTATTGTTAGTTCCAGGAGGAAGACCTGAAGAAACAATTAGTTGTGTACAAAGAAAGGAAATCTTGTTCTCATTTGTAATTTATAAAATTATATCAGAAATAAACTAAGATTGAACGCTAATTTAATGGTTGGCAACAAATTATATATATATGTATATAGTATACTAACTATTGGTACTAGAGAGCTTTTAAACTAGTGAGACCATGAAACTTACAATGTTCAAGATAATAAAAATTGGAGCTTGTAAATATTTAGCATTTAACATGAGTTAAACGCGATTTCAGTTATGTTTATGTAGAAAAGCATCTACTTATTTCTATGGGATAGATAATATTTAGCTAGCGGTGGAATATAGGACGCGCATTCCGTTCTATTCCAGATTTGTTGGTTTTATTTTATTTTCAGATAAATATAATAAATTTTCTGTAATAATTTATTTTATTGGAATAGTTGACACTTTAGGTACATTTCAAGTTAATTATTAGTATGCACAAGTCATTAAATATTGAGAATAATGACGGAAATCGAATCCAGAACTCCTAAAGTATTGTAAAAGGTATACACTCTTGTGAAAACAAATTTTTTTGCTGACTAATAACTGAGGTGGAGTTAAGCTGTTCATAAAGTCGGTCAAGTAATATTAATGATGATATCTTATTAATTTAGTTGTAACTTTTGAGATTGTACAAATCAGTTAACAAGAATTCATACTTTTAACGGAGCAATAAATCTTTGTATATCGAAAATTTATCCTGTTATCGCTCATTTGTTAGTTGAAATTATTGAAAAACTAAGAATCACTTGCTAAAATATTAGGCCAAAAGGCAATTAATTTGTAAGGTACTCGATTCATCATTGGGAAAAGCTTGTTTAACAATAAGGTTTTCTATAGGTATCATTGCCATGGTTTGACTTGATAATTTCGAATAAATTGAGCATTAGGTAGAATATCCACTTCTTCAAAAAATAAATAACCTGAAGTGGCTTGCACTGAGTCACGAAGCTTCCGAAAATCTCATTTTCCCACTCATTGGAATATTGAAAATATATTATCTTATTTACGATGTTCATTGTAAGTTAAATCACAAAATGACCTGAGTTAGACCGTTATAGAAAATCAGGAAGCACTGAACGGCCATTTAGTCGTAGTACAGGATTGCTCAGCAGTGCTCATCTGTTTAGCTACGATCAATTCATGACTTACACTATAGTATTCTGTAATCTATACAAATCCCTCAATATTAATTAAAATGTTTCAAAAAATGAATTTTCAATACAGTTTAAATAACATCTATGAATCTTAAAGTTTTTAAACAACTTCATAATGGTTTTAAATAATTGAAGAAGATTATTCAATTAAATTAAGAGTCATAATATCTGACATAACTATTTCTTCATCATTTTATTTCATCACAATCGTTCTTCTCACAGTTATAGGAAAAACCTACTGATACTTTGTGTTTATTATTATCAGTTGACCTTTCCCAGTCGCTTACGCATGCATATATTAGCTTAATAAGTAAGTGAATAAAATGTAGTAACACTTGGCTTTTGGTGCGTGAATAGTTCTATCAGAGAGTGAAGCTGCATAACTGTTGTTATAAGAAGACTGGGTTGTAATCTTGTTCTCCTGAACGGAAGAATAACGATAAATGACCTTCTATCAGGGTATATTTATTATATAAATGCTAGTGAAGAGGATCATTTAATAATTAAAACGCTCAGCGCTCAATCTCAAGTACAAACCCTACTCCATCTATTTCAATATCGACAGACAATCAATATATGACGTCGTCACACAAATCGTACAATGTAAAATAAATTAAATAAAAGTTGTGTTTCATGAGCTACACTGGGAAATATAATCTATGGTTTTAAGAATGTAACTTCATTTTCTTATTATTAACGTTGATTGTAATTACCGAAAAAACAAAATACGAATGATAAGCATAGTTTCAATATAAATATTGATGAATCTAAGTGAGATTACACAAAAGAATTGGAATGAAGCTTGTAAAAGAAATAAAGCAGTTTTAATGAAATCTGTTAAAATGTTCATCAGGTTTGGAAATCATTACCGTGTTTTATCAGTAGTTTAAAAATCCCCATAGAATATTCAAAAATGAAGAATATTTGAGCGAACAACTGTTTTTAGTAACTTCATCATCAGGGTCTACAGTTATAAGTGCATAATTATAATATTTTACAAAGGCCAAAAATAAGGTATGTATTAATGAATTTGACAATGTTATGTGTTAAAAATGGTAAACGTTTGCATCTGTTACGATATATATATACTTCAAAATTGTATTATTTGCTCTTCCATGTGTGTATACCAATTCAACTGCTCCTGTGGAGCTAGTTACATCGGCCGTACTCAGAGGGCTTTATCCTTGCGTGTTCGTGAACATGTACCAGCATGGTTGGGAAAAGGAGTTACTGAATCAATTAACAGCACCATTCTTTCTCACTTGGTAGATAGTGAACATCATATCAAAATAGAGGAAGCTTTCGCTGTTTTATATCAAGTTCCAAAACATCTACCTCACGGAGTTAGATTACGACTGCTTTACATAGCCGAAGCCATCTGGATCAACTCCAGAAGACCAAATTTATGTATCCAGAAAAAATATATCCAGCCTCTTTGTTTACGTTGGCTTACGACTTGATCACCAAATACCTAGACTGAATATTATAAACCTCTTACCCCCTTCCTTCATTTTTATTTATTTAATTTGTCCGTATTATCATTATTTTTGATTATCTCTATCTTAATCTTCACATCGATCATTCCCAATTCGTTTATCGTAATTACCTTGATAACACCCTCCTTATTACATATTACATTCACACAACAATCTTATTATTATTATTATCTCAATTGACAAGATGACATTCTCCTACTATGCATTTTTATATAACATTGTCAAATTCATTAATACATGCCTTATTTTTGACCTTTGTGAAATATTATAGTTATGGACTTATAGCTGTAGAGCCTAATGATGATGTTTTATTAGTATTTAAAAAGCTAAAAAACCCACTGATAGATTACTATCAGATTGCGATAAGTTACTGACGAATCTTTTCATTTCAATAATGTCAATTAGTATCTCTGTCCATCAAAATTTACTGTAATTCAAAATACCTCAATATATAATTAACATTTTTAGGTATCGCATCATTAATAAAGTGATGTCAACATGTTCACCAGGTGCTAAGCAAAAATCACGTAATATGAGAAGGGATATTGAGTAACGGTAAGGTGAAAATCGATTATATGTAAGAAATATGAAAGAAAATCATTTAATTGATGCGCATTTTAAAAAACTGAGGTAAAAATGAATACAAGGTAATAGATTGTAAAAGTAGAAAGGTGATTTTTAGGACTAATGTGAGATGAATGAAAAAACGAGTCATTTATGAACGTTCAGATCAAGTATAGAAAGTTGTATTGTTAAAGCTTCTGCTGTGAACAGGCTCTTGAGTTAAATTGAACTAACCTTGAAAATAGTATTTATGATGGTAGGTTGCTGGTTAATTAGATATTTGAGAACAGAACTACTGACGTTTTTACATTCATCTGTCAATAAATATTCAGATTTGTGGTCAGTGTTGATTATTGGAGACGAACACTTGTTTGGATGTTTAATTATGACTAAAACTAAACAACTTTGTTGGATTAGCTTAAGAAAACTTTTCATGACTTCAATCATAGTCTATCAACATACCATCTTTATCAGTATGATTACATAGTGGTGTAAAATTTTCAAAATCAATATTCTTTAGAATAGTTCCATTATTTCTTTGTCTAGTATAATATTGACACTTCCGAAATCAAACTAATAAACGTTTAGGATACTAATAACATTAAAATCAGATTCCAATCACACAATACACTTGTCAATCTATATATTACGTTTTTCTTGTCATATTTATAACATGTGTAAATACCTTTATAGTTGGCTAAAAATACATCTCATAAGCATTTTGGAAATGTGAGGTTTTTATAACATGAATGGATTGTTATTTTCTGTGCATGAAATAGGTAATATGAGAAAAATTGCGAATTTGTTTCTTTAAAAAAACTATTTTTGCACTACCCCCCATGGTGACACTGATTACGCTGGATTTCATTTAAAAAATATTTAACAGAGAAATAATCAATAGTCTTAGGGGGTTGATAAGCATTTTTCAAAAAAAATATTTAGAGTACTGAAGATGTATATATGCTACTTATATTATTAGACAGTATGAAAAATCACGATCATGTCTTCTGGCTCAAGTAAACAAATTTAATGTAGATAAATCCCCTCCTGGTTTTCAGTGATTATTTAATGAAGAATAGTCGATTATATAAAACTAAAATATTCTACAACATTTATTCCATAATAAAAACAATTCCATATTGCAACCGAATTTTTTAAAACGAATATATATAAGGCTAGATATCATAATACATATTTAACTGTTCCTACGACCTTAGCTTATCGTTTCATGCATAAAGGGGTCAAAAACACTAAGTTATAATGATTGATTAAACCCTGATAAAATAGTTACGATCATCATCAGTAGTTATGTGTATCCACAATCACGTAACTAACGTTGAAAATCGAATTCAAATCCATGACACCTAGTGTCATGTTCAGGGACGACATCACTCATTTATGTGGATAACATTTTACCGTTTGTTGTGCTGAGATATTCACAGAAATTAATCACTGAGAAGGAGAGATGATTGTATTTGTCTACTCTTGACTACTGGTTAACTCTGTTGATAGATATTACTGTCTATGTAATCTAACAGTGCAATAAATTTCAGTTTTTGAATGATCTAACGCTGTTCTATTAGGAACAAGACCCCATTATGTTAGAAGTAAGTGATGAGAGTCACAGTTGTAAATATTAAATCTTTCTGATTACGGTTTGGAATAACTTGAAATTACGGCGATTTAGTTAAACTAAAGGTAACTTGATTTAATTGCTTAGAGGTTGTTATTTTATTCAAATAAATTCGTTATTGTTATATTATGAAAGATATTATGCAACTAACAACAAAGAGTTTAGAATGAGAAACTATTGCTATTAAGATTAAATGATGACCAACCCCATATTGTGAAATGAATGACTTCAAAGGTGTTGATCAACAGTCTGAAAATATCATACTCTTCATGAGAGACTTGAAGGTTTTAGGTTCTGTTCTATTTGAAGTTGTGTGTGCATACTCCCATTAAGTAGCTGACTCGAACAAAACAACTTTTCTGCGATTCGTGGTTATTGTTGGCTTTTAACAGAACATTTATTTGATAGAGTAAACAATAACACTGCCAAAGGTTTTTTTCGATCTTAACATTTTAAATCTTAGTAGTCATGATTGAACAACGTAACGGATCCCAACGGAGCTTTCAGCTTAGAAAACATGTCACTCGAAGCATGCATTTTTCTCAAACAGTCCATTTCAAATAAAGTACCTACAGGATCTCTGAAAGCCAATTTCTAGAGAAGCTATAGTTATTCCAAGTTAATCAGCTGAATGATCTAGAATTATACACTGCTTTAACACAACTTTAGTAGATATTCGTCGATAAATTAGTGGTTTTACAAGTCAAACATGCCATTTCATTGATATATCAAAATTTGAAATAAAATCTCACTATATTTATACCATTTTTTATGCCTTACCTGTAGGAGTAATAATAACTGAATGACAAGAACCAGAACGACTTAATCCATTATGATTTGCCGGTGGTGTATGCCCTTGATCATAATGATGATGATGATTGATTGGATCGATTTTAAGATGACATCCACCACTATTTGACAGTGATCTAGAATTTATGCCTAGAAAAGATGTCATTTTATAAATACATGAATAGATATATTTCAATAATAAAGTGTAAAAATAAGGGAAACCAAAATTAAGTATTTTAATATGTGTATTGGGTTATTAAAAGTTATTACAGTAAGGTTTTCTTGACACAAACGATATTAAATAAGAAAGAAAGATTAGTTCAGCGAAGAGTTCTCTTTTCGGCGAATTCATTTTCAAAGCTGTACAATCGCAAATATATATACTTATTTTTACAGGGTGATAATAATACTGATAATAAACTTATGTTATACATGGTGACAGTGAGGTTAAATAAACAAAGGTATTAGAAAAATGTTTTAAAACAAGGAAAGTTTGATAGTTAATGGCTTATCATGCTGAGCTACCCTTACCCGATGAATATCTAAGCCATTAACTATCAAACTTTCCTTGTTTTAAAACATTTTTCTAATACCTTTGTTTATTTAACCTCACTGTCACCATGTATAACATAAGTTTATTATCAGTATTATTATCACCCTGTAAAAATAAGTATATATATTTGCGATTGTACAGCTTTGAAAATGAATTCGCCGAAAAGAGAACTCTTCGCTGAACTAATCTTTCTTTCTTATTTAATGTCATAATGGGTGTATTCCGTTTATTACAAACGATATTACTCTTTAAATCACTAACTAATCTTGTCCTTTTCGATTCCTGCTGACTGTCCAGTAAGAATGGTGTTCACAGTTGTAAACATTTAATTTTTCAGATTACGGTTTTGATATTAAGACACACACAAAGAATTAGTAAATGTTTTTTTATCTACCTCATCATCTGTACAAGATGCTTTCTATTAGATTACATTTTCTTAGGACGGAGTAAATAAACTTGCAAAGAAGTTGGACAGAATATACTTTGATCAGTCTACACATGTAATAGTCACTCTAACAGTGACTAGTATATCGTAATAATCTGAAATAACTTCAAAAGCATTGTATGAGATGATTAGTACAATCAAAAAGTTTCTATTCTTGAACTTCTCTTTTGAACATGTATGATATTTTCGATATTTATTGTTTAATACAAGTCCATGCTACTATAAACAGTCATTATTTATAAAAACAACCAAATTATAATAAACAATAATGAAAATAATCGTTATGATGATAAAGATCACATGAAAAAAATAATGTCAACTTGTATCCATCAAATTGTACCTGACGAATTTGAAAAAGTATGAGGTGAAGTGCAATGATTGCTTAATCCAAATCGAGTAGGTGGTGGTGTATAACTATTGTAGTATGAAGCTACAATTAACAAAATTAAAGAAATAAGATAATTCATATTGAATGACTGGTTTTTGTGAGTGTAATTCCTACGACACTTATGTATATGTAGTTTATGTATTACTGATTCTGAAGCAGTTACTATCAGTATTAAAGTAACCCTCAGAAAACTAAAAGTCGCACTGTTAAGAACCATCGACATCAAATTTGATAGTTGTATCATAGAAAAAATGTTGATTATTTTATGAACTGTAATCAACTTTTCCTTTAAATTTTACTTTGACAAATAACAAGTTTTAATATCTGACGAATAACTCATAATAATAATCTTCACAACTCCTATACTGATAATTAACATGTGCTCACTAATGACTAGCTTCGTGAGGGAATTCTTGGAGTTCTAATGAGAAGCCGTGAACAGTGAGGCTAATCCGTGCCGGGTAGAGACAGGTGTCTACCTCAGTACGATGGAAGATGGTCGCGCGATTTCATGGATTGGTTGATGTTAGGCACTAACACCATTGGATGCTGGCTCATTGGTTCAGTACGTTAAGCGTTCGCGCGCGGGACTCATGGCCATGGGTTCGAATCCTGCGAGCGGGATCGTTGATGCGCACTGCTGAGGAGTCTCACAATAGGACGGAACGGCCGTCCAGTGCTTCCGGGTTTCCAACGGTGGTCTAACATCAATCGGTTCATGATCTCAGTCCAAAATAAAACATCCGTTCAAACTTTAAGTACTCCTAGAAAGACTGCGTACGATGAGATTGAAGTAAAAATGAAATTACATGTTGGGATTGAGAGGGAGTACATTTACTTGTCGGGAAAACATAAATGTGAAAGCAGATATTATTTATGGTGAATTAGTCGAAATATGATAAACATACAGTTTGTAAGTTTCATCAATCTGGTACTTCGACTAGCATTTTAGCCTTGAAACAGTCATTCAAATTCTTATTATTAGCTTTCGTGTATAAATTAACGTTGATTATAGTATCACGAGTGTTACTAAATTGAATTCATCTAACTAAAGTATGAGATCGAAATATCACTTGGATGACTCTGATGAATTCCTATCAAAATGGAGTCCGATTAGGAAGATGATATGTAGTTGATATTTGAGAATCTGTTGTTCCTAAAATTTACGATACTTACATTGATAATTATATTTAATAGAACACAGCACTATGGGCTTTGCTTGGAATCTAAGATGTGTTTATGTTGGCATTAAGATTTTTAAATATTCCATGTGGCTGAGGAGACAGAAGAATATATGTGTGAGCATGTAACCATGCTTATGCATTAAATCAGTGAGAATTTTTCAAGACTCTCCAAATTTACCAATCCATGAGTAATTATTTGAAGAAACGAACCTGATATTGGACGACCAAACAAAAATAGAGAACTAAACAGGTTCATAATCTCAATTTTTGGGTGCGGCTGTAATTTTGTTGCATGGGTCTCAAAGGCGTTCATATCAATAGAGAACTTTAGTCGAGATCATTTTGGATATCTTGAACACAGTAATAAAATAAAGACTTTCTATTGATTTTAAAAAAAAAGTAGATCAAACTGATGCATATTTTGTTGAAGCATGTAATTATTAGCTAAACCTGCATGGTTAAATGAAAAATTCAGTCATGTCTTAAGACTAGTTAGCATGATATTTATTATCACCACTGGACTTCATAGTTCACTAAATGACTTACAACTATAAGTTAACATCCTTCTAAATAACACAATGATTACAGTGAATGTCGTAGTAACTACAGTACTTCTAAGTTTCGTGTGTTGTACTATTTCCTATAATTAATCATTTATTAACAGTCATTTGTGCCGGTGATTTAAATCATTATTTATTTATAAAAGTGTAAATGTATGTAAATAAAAACAACATACTACTACGTCCATATGATTGTGGTGAGCAGCGTTCATCAAATCCAGAGCTTCGTCCAGAACGAACACTGTTTGCCTTATTTAAATAAAATTTTATACAAAAAAAAGAAAACATGTGTATATTCAAAATAAATGAGGTCATGGAGTCAGTGGTTAAACATAGGGAATACAGTTTTATTTCAGTTATAATTTTAGCGCGCATATAAATCAACAAAAATGGTGATTTGAAAATGATAAATATAGGCTTCTAAATTTAACAGTGTGCAGTTTAAGACTACTTTTTTTGCGAAGCATTAGAAAGAAAGCAGATACATGATAAGTAAGTCGTATTTATCAAATAGTTTATTTCCAGCTAGAACGTACAAAAGCTTAAATAACACTTTAAAAGGATTCAGCAATTTACGAAACGATATTGCTTCATGATAACTATCTTCACAACACGTAGATCCCTCAAAAGAACACAATAAGTAACAATCACTTACTGACTGATGATTTCTTTCTAAATGAATTTTCTAAAACTGTAACCCGGAACCATGTCGATAGTGAAATTGTCACAAATGCTAACATGAGATAGAATCACATTCTTACGGTTAACTGACGTAAACCTAGATATACCTGATTTAATCTCATGTGCACAAAGCTAATTAGTGTAAGGTGGTTGAATGTAGTCAGCAGGAAACACTAAATCCAAGTTTCGTGATAGTTTGTATGCTTTAACTAGGTGTGATTGCATTCTTGAGGACTGGGCTCCTATAGATCTGTCAAACGCTGTCCGAATAGTTCTGTTTAACGTCTCAAATAATGAAGCTAGATGGTTTGAGTACGAATATCAGTGGAAGCATCAAACCGTTTTTTTCCAATTGCCTCATGCTACCTAAATTCACAACACGGCGAAATGTTGAGTCATTCAAATAAGAGACTACGTCAAAACTTATTCGATAAAATTCGATCGGTACTAAACGACTAGAGAAATAAGATTTTAGTCACCAGTTAGTGATAGATCAGTCTTAGTGTTGATTAGTTATACTGTGTGACGAGACAGCTGTTCATTTTATTGCATTACCTGATGAATAAATAAATAATATTTTTGTAATATCCCAATGAGTGGAAAAATAGGATTTTCTGACGTTTCGTGACTTAGTGTAAGTCACTTCTTCAGAGAATGAATAACCAAATTAAATTTAATCTAATTTTAAATAGTACAACGGAACAATAAGAATAATATGTGATCAATCAAATATATTACTTATTTATAACAACCTACCCAATGCTCAACTTATTCAAAATTATCAAATCAAACCTTCGTAATGATACCTACAAACTCATTACCTGATGAGGATTAACTTTGCTGAAAATAGCAACAGTTGAATTTTCCATCAGAAAAAAACCAAGTCATTACTAATATTTAACTATGATCTTTGAAAGTACTTTTTTTCTTGTTTAATACATTTGTTATTTAATTGTCAATTTAATGTCTTCTAAAGTTGTTTAATATTTTACAAATTAACTATAAACAAATCAGAACAATAACTCAAAATTGATTGAAAATAATACTTTAATTGTTAGAGTTTTAATTGATGTTAGCGAATGTGTAATTTGTAGTTTCCGCAACATTGTTTAAATAACTTCTAAATAAAATCCTGATAATACATGTATAAGTATTTAGATATACTTTGAAACTTTTTATTAGTGTGCAGTGCAAAAGCTTTTGTGATTCTATACTTTGTGTGTGTGTGTTTTCTTTAGAAAAAGAGAACTTTCTTTTCACAATCTGTTATTCAGTCAAAATAGTTTTAATGTATGTCTGTGTGTATTATAACATAAAAGCGTTTTTGGATTCTATATAGTAATCTATTCACAGTTTAGTATCACTAATTGAATTACACAAAAACATTCAAGCACATGGTTATATCGGAATTCGCATCTGAAAAAAATGTATGTTTTTTTTCCTTGGTCATAAAGAAATTTGTTTGAAAAGGCAATGAATACCGAAAAAGACAGATGCATAGTCTTCAAGACTAGTATTCGTATTATTATCACTATTATTATTATTTGTACATAAGCCTATTAAATGACAAAATACTCTGTTACGAAAGGTGTTAGTAGCAAATTTATATATATAACAGTAAGCAAAATATGCATGTTAAAGACAGACTCACATAAACTGATATACACTCAAACAAACACATTAAATTAAACAAAGGATGTTTGCTGACGAATGACCACACAGTTTAATAATTTGTACTACCGCTAGCTATATAAATATTTACATCTTATGATTAGTAAAAATTGCACTTAGAATATATTGTACAGTATCTATCATTATTCTATTACATTATTTATCATGGTGAATTATTCATTGAAAAATAAAGAATAACCATTTTTCATTTCATTAAAAGTAGGTTCGTTATTCCACTACTTGTTTTGGCTTCTGACGTTGTGCAGGTGGATAGTAGTGCCATTTGCTAAAGTAAAACTTTACTCGACAAGAAATCTACCATTTCCTGGTACCTGAAAGGTCAACACGCACGGCCGCCGCTCATGAGACGAAAATAAAGCGATAACAATGTTACATAATTACAATGTTTTCTCTTTAAAAACTACCCATTATGCCACTATTCAACTAGTTATAATAAGTATATATCAGTGACATATGAGGAATTCGATTAAAAACAGTTAGAATAATATACCTTTCGGTTTATAATGCTTATTAATTATAGAGAATTATGAGTGTGTAATGATAGATATCCATTCAGAAGAAGAGTAAATAGCTACAGTTGATAAACCCGCCTCCTTGTAATTTAGCAATCAGTATAGGTAGATAGCATATTACTGAAGTCACGCAATACAACTATGAAAATTATTATAAAGAACTTAAAAGTAAGCGAAAAAATGTTGTTCATTTAAAACTGCAAAACATTCGTTGTCTACTTATTACGTTGAAACGCCAAAACAATTTTTGACGTTTAAATGTTTTGAGATATACATCCAGTAAGTGGCTAGTAAAAAAATTGAAAATGTTTATCTTCTTCTTTTTGGGAGTCGTCAAATGGTTGTATATGCACTTTAGTGGTAATTTTCACAACTAGACTCGAATACTTAGGACATAAAGAATATTTCAGGTCACCTCGTTCACTCCAAACAAAACAATATTTAGAACCTTCCCATCCTTTTTAACGGTACATATAAATATAAACTATATGACAAAAGTAAAACGATGTATTCATATGAAGATAATTAATCATTGTAAATTTGACCTCCTTCTCATCTTACTATCTTATACTTCGAATTAGTTAAATTATCACTGTCTTATCCAATCAATAATAACAATACTAAACGTCATAAGGTAAGTATTTTGTACTTCTCGGTTAAGCATTTTCTTACTAGAGTTAAGGATTTAATAGAAGCAAAATCCTTTCATCATGTTAATCAAATTTTCTTTTATAACTGAACATTTCCATCGGATATAATCGATTATTTAAAGCAAGAATAACAAACATTATCGCATCAAGTGTACAAATGTTCAGAAATTCTCACTAATTACTAAGTTTTAATAATAATAATAATTAAAATTTGTCTAAACAATAACAATTACTGAGTGATTGGGACATGTTTTATGATAAGTAATAAATGTTGGGCTTCAATAATGTACATTTATAGTACTTCAATTAAACGAAAAGAAGGATCATCTTTTAAAAAAACAGTGAAGAATTTATTACGCTCCAGCATATTTTATTCATAACGATTATCTGCTAATAATATTCGGAATATATTTACAATAATTAAAATATTAAATGTTAAAACTCAAAAAAACTTGCTGAAATCAAATAAATTTAAATGTAAGATCTGATCATTAACACTATTTTATTCAGTTTTCTAAACTAAGATAATTATGTATTTTTATTATAGATTAACTGATATTGTGGTGTATGCTACTGAGGTCGATAGATATGAGCTATAAAAAGTGAGATGTTTGACGGCAGAAGGTTAAGAAAATCGAAGAAAAGAGAATGATTGGTGTGGAAATGAAGGGACAATGAAGTCTGAGATGACTGCTTGACATTTTACAAATGAAATGTTTGCTGTATAGTTCTCAGATTTTATTAAAAGATTATTTAATTTTGTATTCAAACACATTTGGTTGTCCCGCACTTGCGTTCATGTTCACTACAATATCAGCTGATTGTCAGTTAATTTGAAAATAATTCATATTTGATGAATAAGGATTCTGTCTTTGTTTAAACTCTTCAATGTGTTAATTCTATGTGTTTATATATATATTTTTCTAACATGACTGTGACAGTTACATTTATCTATTTCATCATCGGACACGTGAATAAATAAGATTATTACCTAGAGTCACATGTCCATGACACTTATCAAAACTATCATTTTAAGTATCGTCGTATGTTGGATGAAACAATTAAAACAAATGCTCAAAACTTAACTATCAGTTACATTGAACAATAACCAATACAGAATGATATATAAAAAAGGAATGTGAACTTCACATGATAAATAAATAAATAAATAGATAATATGTAATACAATGTATAGATGGTAATCTTGGAAAATATGCTTTATAAATGCTTCTTGTAAAATGAAATTCTACTGAAAGTGGGGACAAATGAAATGATATTATCATTTATTTAATTTCAAATAAAACAACATTAATCTATATATATATATATATATATATATATATATTTGTTTTAAATTAATTGCATGTATCCATAATATAAATATGTATAATAAAATCCTAAAACTTCAAAAGATACATATATGAATGCTATTTTACGATTAGTTATAAAAGATAATTGATGAAACAAAGATATGTAGAGTAATTGAATGTTAAATAAAAATAAACTATTTGATTGAATTATTCATTTGTAGATATTACGCTTAAAATGAATTCCTAATTAGAATTATAGATGAACTAATTATGAGGATCATAACGTATTTATACATGTATGATTAATTTTAAGCAAAAATGTAATCTCAAATTTTAAAGGACTAATTTTGAAAATTTTAGAAAGCTTCACTGTTGAAAGTTTAATATCAGAAAACAAAACAGCT